ATATTAAATAATTTGGCAAAATTTAAGAAAAAAAATTATATGAGCTCTATATCTCATAAAATATCAATGCTTATGAATTGGTATATGAAAATATAAAAAAGATAAGCAGAAGTATATATATAAGATAACTAAAGCTATACTATCTTTACTAATAAGATTGTATTTGATCTTTTTCAAAACAAAATTTATTAGTGACATAAAACTAGAATAAAATCTTTTTAACAGCTATTTAAAATATATCAGAAGATTATATTATAAGATAAAATCTCACTTAGAGTAAAAACACTATTATTTTGCTTTATTAAAATAATAAATGGATCATTTTATATTAATATCCTGCAAATCTAACTTTTATCTGCTATATGAAATATATATGATAATAATAGATATTTACAATAGAATAATAATCTGAAGTACATATCCAAGATAGTGAAAAATTTTATTATAGAAAATAGAATTAAGATAATTAACTGGCTAGCAAATAGTCCTGATCTTAATTCTATTGAAAACTTGTAATAAATAATTAAAGATAAAGTTGAGTAATAAATATCACAAAATATTGAGTAATTAAAATAATTTTTAACTGAAGAATAGAAAGTAATTCCTAATGAAATAGTAATTAATTTAGTATGATTAATAAAAAATAAATATGAACTAGTAATAAAAGTAAATAATAATAAAATTCTCTACTAAAAATTTTATGATTAATAAAAAATCTTTTAGACTTTTTAACATATCAAATTTTATTTAAATATTTATTATAATTGCTTAGAAATACAAAAATTTATCACTGTCATTTTTTTTATTATATAATGTATTTCATGATCTATATTATTTAATAGCTTGACTTTTTCTTTAAGCTTAAGTTTTAGAATTTGATTCATATATTAAGTGTGTAGTTGGATTGCTAAATATCCTCACATCTTAGTTATTATATTAATCTCTGCAAAATTTTTATTAATAAATACAAATCTTGGATTAATATCATATAGCTTCAAGATTTCTAGGAAGTTCATCAAGACTTTATAATATCTGCCTATACTAATACTTATATCTGTCTTAGTTATATCAAATATAAAATAGATAATTAAAAAGTTAGTATTTTTAACTTTTATTATAATATTATAAAGTTCATAATATTTATATATAGTTTTATAAGTAATATCTAAGTATATCTCAATAATATTAAAGCTATAATTCTTGATTTTATTTAGTAATAGAATAATAAATCTGATAGCTATAGTTTTCAAATCTTTTAACTTCTGATCTGCTATGACTTTCAAAAGTAAATATACTTGAGAAAGTACTTTGAAATATTAAATTCTTGATGTTATAGATGATTTTTTAAGTTTACTATAGCAAGATATGAATATATATTAATCTCTTTTCATAGTTCATTAGGCATCTTAATGTAAAGATCTGAATGCAGATGGAGAAATTCATAATATATATTCACTGTTATAATACTAAGTATCATATTGATATATACAATAACTTTCTCTTTATAATCATATTATATTTGTCATTTATAATTAGAATCTTTATATATTTCACTCTATATATCTCTTAATTGGTAATATAAATAAGAAAAATAACTAATTATATTTCCAAATTTTCTGAATATATTTAAATTATGAAAACTTTAATAATATATTTCAGTTAGTAAGTAATAATCTAATAAAAATTTATTTCACAAGAAATTACTTACTTTCATGAATAATTAATACTATCTTTAACTTTTGCAATTACAAGATTAGTCATCTCTTTTGTTATCTTGTTTTGAGTGATGATAATATCTAATTGTACCAATAAGTGAGTCTTATAAGCTATATTAGCTATTTCATCAATATGTGTGCCAGTGTTAGATCTCAGATTTTATGTTTGATAAAGTTGCTTATATCAAGATAGTTAATTTTGATTTATATGATATCATTAATATGTTCTTGTGATTCTCCTGACATATTTGCTATGATTCTAGCTGGTGACATGTGCTCTTATTTCTTTGATCCCAATTCTTCTTACATCTTCTACATACCTTGTGACATATATCATTCCAGGTAAATTGATTATCAGGATGATTGCATTTGCATTTAGTACAAAATATCATTTTTTAAGAATTTATTTGTATGTAATTAGGATTTAGGTATTGAACAGTAGTATGTAAGAGATCTTTTATAATACATTTAATGTATTTGTTTTGTAATTAGCATTAGGATTTAGGTATTGAACAGCAAAGAAGTAATGTGCTTTAACATGTTTAAAATCATGTGATCATAAAATTTGGGAATTTAAACTCTAAGTATTATCTAAATTGAACCTAATATAATATATTTATCTAGATTTTTAGATTTCAATTACTTGATAGTATATAAGAGAAATAGCATTTAAATATTATATTGGAGATGTATTTATTAAAATAATAAATCAGCTTAAATGATTTATATTAACTTTATTTTTTTAATATATTATTAAATGTGACCGGATCAAGCTAAGTAATATTTCATGGATCGGAAATTAACAGATCGGAAGCGCCAGTGTCGATCAGCAATATCACGTGGCCCGAACTTTTAGGGGTCGCCCTGGCAGACTCGAAAAAAATTAGGAAATTTGATTACGTGTAATGTTAAATAATTATCTACATGTATGTAAAACTTGATGAATTCAGGCATGCATTATGATAATCATAATGCCGGTCTGAATTATAATAAATACCGTACTATCTGGCTTTAGTATTCCCTTGAAATCATGTGTCTCATTTTTAGGTCATGTACAAGTAACAATAACGTAATCGATACATGTTAATATAAAAATGATCACTATATACATGTAGATTTGATTTACATGTACAGACAAAACTTTAGTCTCGAATTTTGATATGAATTAATATTTCTCAACTTCTCTTTAAATAATTATGGTAAAAAATATATCATTTTATTCAGCAAAAGTAGGGCTATTCATACATATATATAATATCGGGTTGGATACCCATTTGTATCAATTACAGCTTGCACTCGCCTCGGCATACTTTCAACCAAATTTTTTAAAATTTCCGGTCCGATTTCATTCCATTTCTCCACGAGTGCATCCATCAATTCTTCCGGATTTTTGGGATGTGTTAGTCGTGCACGAATTCGTCTTTCCAAAACATCCCATAAATGCTCAATTGGATTTAGTTCAGTACTCTGGGTAGGCTATGGAAGTGAAGCTATTAGATTTCTCTTTCTCTCCATTCATCAACATGATAATTTCTGTGAACCGGCGCATTATCATTTTGAAAAAGATGAACAGAACTAGCTAGTGGTTCATCTAAAAATAGTCGAAGATGCTGTTCAAGCAATTCTACATAGTTATTGCACCGTCAACTTCGATTAATGGTCCGAGTGCATTTCGGATAAAAAATCCCCATACCATTACTCCTCGATTACCCGATTTCATACTAGGAAGAGGACAATCAACGTCATATTTTTCATGGGGTCGACGCCAAACCCATTGCCGTGAATCATTTCTGAATATTAAATACCTTGATTCATCACTCCAAATTACTAATTCCCATTCAAGAACTAATCTTTCATTTGGATACCATTTTAATCGTTTACGACGATTTTCCTCAGATATAAAGGTTTTCTTAGACCAGCCCGACCAAAAAACATACTTTCGTGAAGATTATGACGTATGGTTTTAGAACTGACCGAAATTTCTAAACCAGTATTGAATTAATATTGATGGTCTACCGCTTCGGGCAGCAACTGTGGTTTGGCCAAACTCTTGTATGACGTTATGAACTGTATATTTGGGTCGTCCTAGAGTTTCTCCTATTTTTTGTTCGCACTGCCAAGCGCCGACTATCTCGCCGCGATCAAAATCCGTAAGTTGGCAATTTCTGCGAGTATTGGTTGAGTTTGACATATATTTTATATTTTTAAAGCTTAAGATTTTAGCTTTCTAAAGAGCTATTGACGTTAAAATTGGGCGATTCCAAACTTTTGTCCAGTGAGTGTACATTGTAATAGTAATAGTTATTAAACCCAAACATATCATAAAAATGATCGACAATATTTAAATATAATTATAGCACAACCAATAATATTATTTTTTTATTAAAATCCACCAAATCCTAAACTTTAACTTTATAAAAAATTTACATGATTAGAATCAGCAAAATCTGCTCTATTTAATGGTATATTTATATTTTCCAGATTAATTTTTCATTAATGAGTTACATAGCAATTTGTTCATGTATATATTTATATGAATATTTGATGTTTCAGATCTATCGGAATGTGGTGTTGAAGCAGTTTGACCTTGATTTTTTTGTATTTTTATTACATTACCAACAATGAATTTAGGTGTCTTGATATTTTACTGATTTCACTTATTGTTTTTTTTTTGCCTTTCCATAGATCAACAATTTCTTCACATTCAAAATCTGTAAGTTCAGATCTTTTAGGCATTGCTCAAAAATGATTTTTTTAAAAACAGCAAAAAATATATTCTCTGTTAGTAGAAATCAAGTTGAATCTAATAAAAAATATCAAAGAATTTGGTAATCGATTGCGCAGATAGGGGATAAGCATTCTGTTTTCAATTAAAAAATTTATATTTTCTAAAACTAGAAAATTAAGCGGACACTTTTTGTAAGGGTGATGTACTGTACATGTGCATGTATTAATTATTGTCGTGTATACCTTAAAGGGCTAGACTGCATTGTAGCGAATTGGTCACAATATACTTGTACATGTAGTGATCATAACCGGTTAAGCTTTAACCAGTTAAGAATTTTCTCGAAACGGTTAACCATGATCAAGTATTACCTTCTATATTTAGAAATTTTTGATTCATACATTCGGGATTAAACAATCAGACATCTATATTGTTATCGTTACTGTTATTATATAGCAATCGAATTTCTAATCATATGTTATTTGCAAATTACATATGAATTCTTGCGAATTTGCAGTAGATTTTTGCATTGTAACGAGTATATTGTAGACGCGTAAAAAATGACCGAAAACGTTGCAAACTTTAAAGAGAGTCGCAAAAAAAAGAAAACTGGTAAATCTTTTAGATTCTTAAGCTATGAACCACGTAATGAAATGTTAAAAAATATTGAACACGAAGCAAATATAATAAATAATGCGACAACCAGGAGAAAAAATTCTCTTGATACACTCTAGTTCTACGGAAATCTCTATTTTTCCGAACTGAGTATTCTCCTGTGATAACTAATTCCTCATCCCAACTTTCTCAAGAAATGAAAGTGTTATCTGTAATACTCCAACAAATTTTCGTCTCAGACTAGTTCTCTTCCTATACCTCCACCTTTTGCTATTTCTAAAATTATGGGAAGATATGATAATCACATATTTCTTAATTGGACGGGGAAGCGTGAGAAAGACATAGACGTACTCTTTGGTCACGACCTTGAAATCATGTTTATCCATAACAGTAGAAAAGAAATGCGTTGCTTATATCGATATCGATATATTATAAGGTATTAGGGCAAACCATGATTTACGTTAAATTGGACGGGTGGGGAAGGACACAAGTCAATTAACTTATATAAGTAGTTTACTAATTATTTAACGTGGATGATGGGGATATCCCCTTAAGTTTTTATAATTTTTTATAGAGTTTCGTTGGTTACGATTTTGATTTGTAAATAAATTACGTATAAAATAATATGATTTTTTTATTTTTCTTACTTGTTATGCTCGATTCTTTCTATAACGAGCTGGCTCTATTAAAAAGTTCATTATAGAACCGCTATAGATAGGATAGTCGTAACAATGCCTGAGTTTTTCATCAACAATGTCGTAAATCAAATATGAAAAACAGATGTTTAACCTAAGTTGAAGAACTGATAAAAAATGTCAGTGAGCTAATTTTACTTTGTTCTCTAATCTGCTTTAAACCCTTTTTAAATCGATCTTTAATAATAAGATAAAAATTTCCGGGATCGAGAACCGGAGGAAAAAGTAAGTCATGTGTTTATAATACGCTCGAGTTATTTCATATACATGTACATGTTCATGCACACGCACATGTACATGTTAAAGCTATGTGATAATTTATTAAGTTTGTAATTAATATTGTTTCTTATTTGATAGTGATAATCTCATAAATTTTCAATTGCTAATGTAAAGTTCTTTCCAATTATGAATCCTGTTCGTAAAGAAAACATTTAGTTCACTATATTACAGCATTTTTAAAAGGATAACAGCTGTATAAATTGTAATGCGATTTTAGTTCGACGCCTATTTCATCAAAAATTTTTTTTTGCTCAGTAAATACTATTCGTCAAAACCTTGTTTATTGCGATAATAATTCTCTGACGTACATTCGTTTTCATCTGCGGCGGCTAAATTTTTCACGTCATAATCTACGACTTCTGGAAGCGTTGACGCATAACCTGGTGCTTCTGATAGCCACTCGAGTTCATTTAGTTGTTCATTTACTTTATAAATATTAGGTCGATTTTCAGGTAAATTATCCCAACAGGTTTTGTATAGTTCCACGTACTTAGCAGGAGTTCCGTAAATTGGTTCTTCTTTCTCGTTAGATGAATTTAAGGCAAATACATGCCGATTTGGAATGCAACCGCTGGATATAACCCAAAACAAAACACCGAGGCTGTAAATATCTGCTTTTTTATTGCGTAGTAAATTCCCTGAATAATCCAAAAATGCGGGATCAATATAACTTAATGTTCCCAAATCTCTCGGTGAATTTGTGTTTGTCTTCAAAAGTTTCGAATAACCTAAATCCGCAATTTTAATTTTTCCCTTATGGATGAGGATATTATTATGATTCTATCATCAGAAAAACTTTGTAATTAGTACAAGTTTCTATTTAATAAATAAATTTATTTGCCTTATGCTTTTCGTCTTACCAGATCACCATGAACTATATCCGAGTTATGTATACTTTTTAATCCTTGCGCAAGTTGTTTTGCTAAACTTAATTTATCGTCACCATTCAAATAAGAAAAAGTTTCGCATAAATAATCTTTAAGGGTTCCACCACCGGCATACTTTATAACCATCATATATTTTTGGGTATGTAAATCTAATTTAAAGCTTATTAGAGAAAATTTTTTGATTATGAAGATATAATTATGCGTATTATACCTTTGGTGAATCCATAAAATCGAATTATATTTTTGTTGTGATTAAATTTAGAAAGAATTTTTATCTATAAATATGTTAAAAAAGTGTGAGTTTATGTCTTTAGTTTATTTCTCAAATATAGGTAATACCTCTTTGATAAATTGCTTATTTGTTTCTTCGGAACCTTTCTCATCGCTTAGATAAACACTCTTTAAAACAATAGTCAAATCTTCGTTTTTCATTTTTGCTTTATAAACTTCACCAAATGCGCCATTTCCAATAACATTTTTATTAGAAAAGTCATTAAAATCGAAAAATTCTATTCGATTTTCTTTAATTGCGGATTCTATCCATTCGTTTCCGTCAAATGGCCATTCGAGTTCATTTAATTGTTGATTTACTTTGTAAATATCAGGTCGATTTTCAGGTAAATCATCCCAACATGCTTGATATAACTCATATAACTTGACATATTTAACAGGAGTTTTTTCTTTCTCATTGAGTGAATTTGAGGCAAACGCGTGTCGATCTGGAATGCCGTTAAAGATGACCCAGAATAAAACACCAAGGCTGTAAATATCTGATTTTTTATTGCGCAAAATTTTTTCCTGACCACTTAATAGTGTGGCGGGATCGTTATAACTTAATATTGCCCAATCTTCTTTTGTTGAATTTTCTTTTGGAAGTTTCGAATAGCATAAATCCGAAATTTTAATTTTTTTATTGTGGATGAGAATGTTATTATGATTCTACATACAAAAAATTCGTAATTAGAAAAGATTAAATTTAATAAATAAATTAATTTAATATAATGCTTTACGCCTTACCAAATAACCATGAATCATGTTTAAATTATGTATACTTCTTACTCCTTGTGCAAGTTGCTTGGCTAAATTTAACTTATCGTTATCAGTCAATTTAGAAAAGTTTGAGTTTAAAAAATATTTAAGAGTTCCGCCATCAGCATACTCCGTAACCATCATGTATCTTTGCGTATGTAAATCTAATTTAAAGATCATTAGAGAAAATTTTTCAATTATGAAGATATAACTATGCGTATTTACCTTTAGTGATTCCATAAAAACGAATTATATTTTTGTTGTGGTTAAGTTTGAAAAAAAGAATTTTTAACTAATAAATATTATAGACTAATGTGTGAATTTATAGGTATACAATTTCTGTTTATTTCGTCAAATATTGCAAATACCTCTTTGATAAATTTCTTATTTTTTACTTCTGCTTCCGTGCGCTTCTCGTCGCTTAGATAAAAACTCTTTAAAACTACAGTCAAATTTTCGTTTCTCATTACTGCTTTATAAACTTTACCAAATGCACCATTTCCAATAACATTCTTATCGGCAAAGTCATTGAAATCATAAAAAAATATTTGATTTTCTCTTATTGCGGCTTCTATCAATTCGTTTCCATTAAAAAATGGCATTTTTGTATTCACATTAATTGATTCTGATGTCCATTCAATTTTCTTGAGTTGCTGATTTACTTCATAAATATCTGGGCGATTTGCTGGTATATAATTTCTACATGCTTGATAAAGCTCAACATATTCATCTGGAGTCCCGTCGATAATTTTTTCATTTTCCGACAAGGAAATGCGTCGATATTTATTAGTCGGAGGACGACCACTGGAAATAACCCAGAATAGCATACCAAGGCTGAAAATATCTGATTTTTCATTAAATTTAAAGTTAATCGTATCTTTTAGAAATGCTGGATCAGTATAACCTAGATTTATTTTTGGATCATTTGTAAGCTTTGAGTAGCCCAGATCCGAAATTTTGATATTTCCTTTATTCACAAGAATATTATTGTGATTCTGTTAATAAATATTTAAAATCAGTATTGATAACGATAAATTTAATTTACAAAATTGCTTAACGTAAATTTTTTACCAAATCTCGATGAATAAGGCCTGCATCATGTATGCACTTTACTCCTTTAACGAGTTGTCTAGCCAAACTCAATTTGTCATTGCCGCTCATTTTATCAAAATTATCATTCAAATATTCGATAAGAGTTCCGCCATTAGCATATTTCAAAACAAGCAAGTACTTTTCTGAATTCGTGTCTAAAAAAAATTTATTCTTTAATGAATTATATTAAAGGACCTTTGAAAAAGATAAAATGAATATATTTACCTTGAGTAATTCCGTAAAAACGTAGATGGAAATTAAATTGGTGATAAAGAATATCTAATATTATTAATCTTTATGTTATTACTAAATAATAAATAATTAAATAGAGCAAATTAATATATAAAAGAATAAGTGAATATATTAAAGTCAAGATATTTTATTTGATTTTCCGAAATTATATTTGACCAAGAGGATGACGACATTACTTATGTACATAGATCTATTAAGTTTTGAGTTGGTTTTCTAGCGTTAGGAAAATAATTTGATTCTTATACCCGTTAGCAACGCATGTACATGTAACACCACCAAATCTGAAAATTGAACCTGTTAACAAAATTTTTTGGAAAATCATTGTTACATGTAACATAACGATAATTATTATCATAGTCTAATTTACTTTTAAGATTGTTATTCATGCAAGCATAAACCATTGTGGTTGCGTGTAAATTTACGTTCAATTAACTACAATGCACATGTAAAACCAAATAAAAGTACACGTATTTTTTTTCAAGTACGTGTGCATGTATCATGTCACACACAATTGCGACGCACAAATACATGTATATATGTACGTTAAATAATTTATACTCGCTGCTTTTTTAATCCTTTTTATGATAAATATGGAACGCTTCAAAGTTTCTGTTAAAGTTAATAATGATGCATTCTTTATTTGGCTTCCTAAAGCTGCAACGCTTACAGGAATACGTGACATACTTTCGGAAAGACATGGTATAAAAATGGGACGTAAAGCGTATTTTATATGCTTAAAGAAAAATGGCTCACCTAAAATTCCGCTATGCGAGGAAAAGGACATTTGCATTGAAGATGTCATTGACGCTGAGAAAACTTTGGAAATAAAGGGCGAGCTTGAACCAAACTGGGCTGATATTATCGAAAAAAATTCACTTGAATGTGGACTATTTTTCACGGATGAGGGACTAAAGTGTTCAGCGAGAAAAGCATTTAAAATTATAAAACATCCGAAGGATACATTGCGAAGACCAATTACTTCGGATCAAGAAGTAATTTGTAAAACGGAAATAGACAATATTAGTGTAAAAAATTTATTCGTCACGACAAACCTATGTGTAAACCTGCCATAGTAAGACGATAGATTTATTTAAGTTTTATTTGATAATTATTTTTTATTTATCGGTTTGTTTGTGTAAAAAATTACAGTGTACCAATTTCTGCGAAGCTTGGTGGCGCTTACCAATCGAATTTTATCGATCATTACAATAAGAAGAAATTTGAAACATATTATAAATCAATAAGAATACATGCGATATTTCCAATGTCTGAATTAGAAGTTGAGCCAACTGAAGAATTTATTTCAGCAGTAGACGAAGCACTCAATTCAAAAAATTGCCGTAACTCCCTTGAACAAGTCACAAAAGAGTTTGGTCAATTTTGGTGTAAAAAATTAGGAATTGGTGGATGCATTTTGTATGTTAAAAAAGGAGGATCAAATAGTTATGAAATTGATAACGACAAAAATAAAGAAGGTTTTATTAATTCTTGTATTGGAGGATCAGTTGGGCGAGGTAGAAATCAAAGAATTGCAGAAACTAACGAATACACGCACGCTTATTTTCAATGTCGTGGCGGCTTGGAAAAAAATTATCATGAACACGGAATGAGTGGTATGTAAAACTATATTTATCAAAAGAGTTGCATGGGCTGTACTTATTGTACTGTAATTTTTAGGATGGATTACGTCATTAGAAGATTATAAAACGTGGGAGGTGGCCGCAATTTCTGATGTTCATTCAATATTTGATATTCTTGATGAAGAAAGAAGGATAAAAGTAGCCATGAAACTTAAAAAAAGAATCATTTATTCTAAGGTTGAAAAATTAGAATTTAGAATGGATATTTCCAAATCGAAGCCACACGTTTACAAAATTCCGGTAGAATACAACCTATCGAATTATCAAATTTTTGTTACAGAAATGAAAGATGACAACTCAGATACAATATTCGCTTCTCGAGTTCATTATATCAGCGATAAAGATCAGCCTGTAATTCTATTACATCGACTTGGGTCATTGAACAAAACACCAAAATATCAAATATTTTCAATTAATTTGGGTTGGATCGTACTTGGAACATCAACCATGTTGAATCTGCTCGAACAAAAACTAGATTTTGAAAGTGGAGAATCACAAATCACAACGAAAAATGAATATTGCTCAGCAATTATACCCTCGCGTTTGCTAAATCCGAATGAGAGTCTATTGGCTACATGTGTTTCAAGATCTACAAATTTGCAAGAAGATTACGCGACTTCAAAATATGTTACAAGATCGCATTTTGTTTATAACGATAAGAATGGTGTTATCAAGGCTTGTGCTTTTTGTTATGATTTAGAAAGAAGTAAGTATTTTAATTAATATTTCATTACTATTTGAATCTCACTAATATTTATACTGCAATTTATTTAAAAGAAGAACTAGTTTATCAATTGGATGGTTTAAACACAAAATTTTCAATCAATTACAGGTAAATAATGTTGAAAATGTTTCTATTTAAATTGATTAATTACAATTTCATCCTTTCACTCAGCATAATAACCGGGGTAGAAACTAAAAAATTCGGACAAGCACAAATAAAACGTCAACGCGGTAAAGAGGGTATTCATAAAAAAAGATTTGAAATCGAGTTTGATAAATCTCAGCAAATGTCACTATCATGTCCGCAAAGCCCGTTTTTTGTTAACCTAGTCCTGGATAAATGTCCAAAATCCTGTCCACATGGAGTATTTAATATTACAACAACTTATGCAGAATTTAAATTTATTAACTCTGACTATCTCGGTAGTAGTTTGAAAAATAAGCAAATTGCCTATTTTCTTGTTTGAAGAAGATATGAAGGATAATGAATTTTTATTTAAAGTATTTAAAATTATTCAAGAACTAATCCTAATTATTATATTTATGACTTTATAATTTTTTATATTTATTTATAATAATTATATTCTAGTTAATTATAGCATTATAGTCGTTGTACATGAATAGAGATTTTTTAATTGAGTAGAACGAAGTTTTAATCAGTACTTCGATTTAGCGTGGTTGACTTGTATTTCCCATTTAGGGTAGGATTAGTCGTTAAATCATGTTCTGACTATGTTAGTCAAAGATTTAGTTGGAAAAATGCACAAGAGTTAATTTATTCATGTACATATCCTTATTATTATAAGGTTAGCTAATTCACTATACAGACCTAATCAACACTTTATAGATTATGAAACTAACAATAACAGAAACTAAACTTCCGAATTACATGTGCATATCGATATTGTTGTAATAACAATCAATTTCCGTAATTCCTTAATTTGGAACAACGACCTAAAATCCCGTAATTCATTAATTTTTACCCGAATTTGGAATAACCAATATGCCATGGTTTCACAAACATCCAATGGTAATCAATAACGATAATGAAAGCGGTTTCTACCAACAATTAATGCAGTAACAATTGAATCACACAATAAGCTTCGTGGGAATTGATAATTGCTGCATCATCTTATAGTTAATGAAATAACTTGGTAACCGTCATTATTATAATAATTAATTCACTTTGCGAATTGCTATTATCATTGAAAAATCTGGACAGCAAAGTTTACATCTGACATTTACGCTTTTTGAATTTTACTTCCGACAACTCAACTTCCCGACAGTCCTACATCCCGGCATACCAAACTTCCAGATAATCCCGAACTTCCCGACAAATATAACTTGGATCGGCCACTAACATTTCATCAACTATTACATGTACTATGAATAAAGAATATAAAGAATCTTCTTTAAAAATGTAAGATGATGTCGGGATGTTAGGTTGTCGAGATGTTGAATTGTTGGGATGTTGAATTGTCGGGATGTTGGGTTATAGGAATGTTGAAATTTCGTGAAGAGTGGTGTCGGGATGCTGGTGTAGGGAAGATGTGTTGCGACACCCGTTTATTTTCTATTATTTCTGATAATTCCCCTCCAAGGACTCAAATCGGAAAGTCAAAGAGCGACTTGACACCATTCTAAAAATAGATCCAATATTAAATCAAAACCCCCAAACACTCAATTAACATAGAAATTGGCCGTTAAGCAGTTTCTAGAAACTTACATGTATAAAAAGGCGAGTTCTTGGCCTTCTAATAAGAACAAGAAACGACGACAATAAAAAAAATTAATTAACCATTGTAACCATTGCAAATCCTTTTACCTGTCAATATCCGTTTTGTCATCGCTCACCTGAAATCTTGCGTACAAGTGGGCTTTTATCTCTTTTTTGCATAACATAAAACGATAGCGGAACTCCACTCTAAATAAACCATAATTTACCTTGAGTATTTCGTTTTGGCATTGAATAAGTCTAACCGTTGAATTGTTTCATACTGTGATGAATTTGCTTTGTGCCTAATTCCTCATGTTAATTAATTTATTGGCCAACATTAATAAGTCCAACTCTTTGTTTTGTGTTGGAGTGAGCAGAAACTACCTGTATTCCTCTAAATCTCATGAATTAATTAAGTCTACCTTAAACATCCTTTTAAAATATACTTCTTTCCGCATCTCTCAATCATTTAAATAATAGTTCTTGCAAGAACTATCACAAGAGACCTTTTGGAAGAATCAGGGAACCCTCTTTTTAATAACTATTTAGTCGGAGCCTCTATCTAACCTTGTATTATGTCTCATTTTTGATAGATCCAACAATTTTTAAGAAAAATGTAACATTTACTACCTGCCACACTATTGTCATCTTTATTATTCTCCTTCTTTGGAAAATTTACAATCCTTTACAGGATTTGGACTTGACTGCAAGAAAATGATGCAGCTAGTTATTCGCGAGCCGTCCAGTTATATTCGAACATCTGGAGCAAAATTAAGTATAGCCTCGGGAAAGAATTATTAAGGAACTATTCAGTATAGTAGTATATCAACGAAGATTAGCTCAAAGTGAACAGAGACAATTAATGCAAAATATACTCATAATATTTTTATGACAATTAATTTGAGTAAGGATGTTTAACTATAGAATGAAGCGTCATTTATTAAACTAGTCTAGTCTTGAATTGGGCATTTTAAAAATGATACCTCTTTAATAAAATGTTTGTATATTTCTTCATTATATTTTTCATCTTTTTTATGAAAGTATTTTAAAACTACAGTTAAATCTTTGTTTTTCAACTCGGCTTTATAAACTTCACCAAACGCTCCATTTCCGA